GCGCTGCACTTTGTGAATGGCCCCGTAGTTTTTTGGGACCTGTCACGTGTCCCAGAAGACTACGGGGAGGGAGGGGAAAAGGACAACTTCCGCTTCCGATTGCCAAAGCGAGAGCAGAGGAAGTGGGAGCGGGTACCTGTCAAATTCGGGTACCTGCTCCCCAAAGGTGCCAATCCTTAATGGGCAGTGGGGGACAAAGGCTTAAAGCGGAACTTCCTCTTTTGGGTGGAGCTCTGCTTTAATGATTACATTACTACCAGGTTTGTATTTATTTGACATGTTTTAGAAAAGATCATCCTAATAATTTCCTTACTGTACTGTTAAATATCATCACCAAAGTACACATGACATCATTGCAAAACTATTCTAACATACTCAGTCGAGCACGATGCATTGTTCCCATTTGTAATGATTAGGAATAGTGAAACTGTAGTGTTTTCGCAACCTGAATATTTTGTTCTTTACAGGAAATCAATGCAGCAATGATTTTCCAAGAAAGCAAGATACAGAATACCACAGGTTTTCTACCATTAGGGTATTTTGTATTAATGTTCTCTAATGATCAGCAAAATATTCAGAAAGGCTCAGATCTGTTTACCTCCTGTGCTTACGTAAAAATAACATGCAACTGATGTGAATGTACAATATATATGTAAAGGGCTGTGTAAATTGATGGCACTATATAAGTACCTGTAATAAATAAATAAACTGGAATGTGCTGAATCTGAGAGAGCCATTGATGGGAACTTATTAATTAGTTACCGACCACGCTATAGCTAAAAGACGGCTACACCATGGTCGGCTAGTTCTGAGAGAGCATCCATGGACATCCTCTCAGAACCATGCCCCCCTTCATGCCCCCTATGGTGCGCAATCTGTGATTGCTATGCCCTTTCGACACACCTGATCATGTGTCCAGGTAAAGAGCCAGTCAGAGCAGCCTTTTACCATGTGATCAGCTGTGTCCAATCACAGCTGATCACAGTGTAAATAGGAAATGCCGGTTATCAGCAGTTCTCTCCTCACATGCGATCAACCGGTCAGTGGAATTTCTCAGGGGGGACATCTACACTGATCAACAGGGCACTGTTCACCCATTCAGTGCTGGCTATATGTGCCCAGTATCAATGTTGGCTATCAGTGCCCAGTTTCAGTGCTGGCTATCAGTGCCTCCTCAGTGCTGGCTATTAGTGCTTATCAGTGCTGGCTATTAGTGCTTATCAGTGCTGGCTATCAGTGTCCATTAATGATGCCGGTCAGTGCCCATCAATACCGCCTATCAGTACCCATCAGTGGTGCATATCGGTGCAGCCTCCTCAGTGCCTCCTCATCAGTGCCCATTAGAGCAGCCTTTCAGTGCCCATCAGTGTAGCCTCATCAGCGCACATCAGTGAAGGAGAAAATCAATTTTTTCATTTGTTTAGCAAATAATAAAAACCCCAGTGGTGATTAAATACCACCAAAAGAAAGCTCTATATGTCTCAAAAAATGATAAAAATTTAGTTTGGGTACAGTGTTGTATGACCGTGCAATTGTCATTCAAAGTGCAACAGCACTGAAAGCTGAAAATTGACTTGGGCAGGAAAGAGGTAAAAGTGCCCAGTAGGCAAGTGGTTAAATACCTCACTGTTAAAAGTATAAATAACACACATCCAGAAACAAATACACACACTTTGGAAAAAATGTGTGCAAAATGTAGACATTCTTCTTTCAGCCTTTACTTATTTTATACATGTTCCTCTTTGTGTTTTAGCTGTGTATAATGAGCACTGCTTTATGAAAGAAAATGTAGCCTGTAAAGCGACCTCTGTTTCAATAAATTAAAAGAAAATGTGATATTTTGTGTAATGCCACCAGAATAAATTAAAACAAAACCTCAGTCCACTGGCGTTCAACACGTTCCCACTATACGAGAATGGTTTGCCCGGATTGACAAAACTGAGGAAATGGAGAAACTGATTTCTGTAGCTAAGGAACATCCCGAGAGATTCAGGAAAAATGGGCATGCTGGAGTCATTTCAAATCCACCCCTAACTATCATCTAATAGTACACGATCAACCAAGACCCTCTGGCTGAATGTCTAAGTACAATGCTGTAGGGGGATGTACCCTGATAACCGAAGACACTTCTCTCACACACAAGGATGGTATGTTCATCTATATCTCAACATGCCTTCTGGGGCTATTGATACCTGCGTTACCCCACTGACCGATCCTTCACACATCATATTTTAAGCACTAGTAATACCTGTCTGGCTGGGCCATTACATGAGGATGTGATGCCTTCTCCCCTCCCCCCCCCCTTTTTTTTTTCTCTTCCCCAACATCTCACCCTACAATTCTTTCTACTACTGTCTTTCTTTCTAACCTCTTGTCTTCACACTTGTTATTTCCCTGTATCATTTCTTCTCTACCAACAAAATAGAGCATTTACCTGCACACAGACATGACTAACTTCAACCATAGCACATACGCTAGCTATAAATATGTAAACAATGACCATCACAGTACCTAACGCTTTCCCTACCCTTACCCCTATCATCACACTTCATCATTAAAAAGTTGATGAGAGTCAGGACGAGATAACATTCACTAACATCACTTTATCCATTTTCCTCTTGGTATCCACCATTTTACTTTATATGTTGGATGTACTGTTCTATATGATTTCGTCTTGTACAACTGTTTACAATTTGTCCCGTCTGCGAAACGGAAAGCAACATGTCATGTCTATGTTTTGACTGTGATCTATGGCTATACATGCTCTAAATGCTTTTGTTTTCTCTTAAAACAATAAAGTATTTTTGGAAAAAAAAAAAATAAAACAAAACAATCCAAATGAATTTGAAGTGCAGACTTTCAGCTTTAATTCAAGGGGTTGAACATTAATGTCAAGTACAAATTTTAGGAACTTCAGCCATTTTTATACACAGTCCCTCTGTTTACAGGGGCTCAAATGTAATTGGACAAATGCATATAATCATAAATAAAATGTTCATTTTTAATATTTTGTTGAGAGTCCTTTACTGGCAATGACTGCCTGAAGTCTAGAACCCATGGACATTAGCAAAGACTGGGTTTCTTCCTTCCTGATGCTTTGCCAGGCTCTAACTGCAGCTGTCTTCAGTTGTTCTTTGTTTGTGGGTCTTTCTGCCTTTAGTTTTGCCTTCAGCAAGTGAAATACATGCTCAATTGGGTTGAGATCAGGTGACTAACTCGGCCATTGCAGAATATTCCACTTCTTTTCCTTCAAAAGCTCTAGGGTTGCTTTTGCAGTGTATTTTGGATCATTGTCCATCTATACTGTGTAGCGCATCCAGTCAACTTTGCTGCATTTCGCTGAATCTGGGCTGACAGTATATCTCTAAACACTGCAGAGATTCATCCGGTTGCTTCTGTCTTCTGTCACATCATCAATAAACACCAATGACCCAGTGCCACTGGAAACCATGCATGCCCATGCCATCACACTGCCTCCACCATGTTTTACAGATGACGTTGTGTGCTTTGGATCATGAGTTGTTGCAAGCCTTCCCCACACTCTTTTCTTCCCGTCATTCTGGTACAGATTAATCTTAGTTTCATCCGTCCAAAGAATGCTTTTCCAGAACTTGTCTGGCTTTTTTAGATGTTTTTTTTAGAAAAGTCTAATCTCGCTTTTCTATTCTTCAGGCTTATGAATGGTTTGCTCAGTAATTAACATTTGAGGTTGATACACAAATATACCAGCACTTTATCGCTCCAATATGGGCGATGTCATCGTAACCAAAATGCATATACACAAAGAATAGATCGCTCAAGGTGGACAAAAGTAGTTACTTATGGTGGAAGATATTTTTAAAAACAAACATTAATACCAAATATCATAAAACATTAGCTGGCCAGACGAAGCTACGCTACCATTTAGCGAAACACGTTGACGTCATATGTCATGTCACGTGACGCCATCTTTTCTACATGGGAACTCCGTGGTTTTGGCTCCCTTAGAGTCAGTGACAGCATCCCGGAGTTCAGGGAAGAGCATGGTGAGACATTGGACTTGCATGGAATGCAAAGAGCGGTGGCTATTCCATCACATGGATTAATCTGATATTTAGAACAGTGAAGTGGCTGCGGTAAAGCGCAAGAAGCGTTAATGTATATGCCGCCCCTATATGGGAAACACTGCATATCTTGGGGACACGAGAACCTCTAATACTCCCCCATGTAGGTCCAGTTGGTCCAGGAGATACCTGGAGTTAAGACGGTCTTGTGCTCGAAAGTGCTTCCTATGTATCTTGGAGTAACACTGTCCATATACAATCATCCTTCACCAAGTCCACTGCTGGATATATGCTTCTTTTTGATACCGCCCAGTATACATATCTGGACTTTATATTATATAACATCATAACGGTCTCCATCTCCTGCAATTGAGCAAATGGGACTCTATGCCTTGTACTGACTTTCCCAAGCCTTATGGGATATACAGTAATAATTTATTGATTTTTTTCACATGGACTACCACACTGCCCTATAGTATATAGGGTCCAGCCTTGTGCAAAGTATATTACTTGAAGACTTTATTCCTTTTTGTGCAAATATTGTGCACTACAGCTTCCTTTACTACTTGGGCTCCTGGGGATCCCAGATTCATGCATGAGGGCTACCTTTAAAGGATATTGTAACTTATCAAGGCAGCAGTTTTTTGAGGTATGCTACCCATGGATGAATCTATATGCGTCCGGACGTGGTTATTTTATTTCACATATATTTGTCGGGCCTGTTTGATCTATTCATGTTTAATATGTGTTCAATCTACTATTTAAGATGTCTGAATCCACGCTGCAATGTCACTCAAAATTGAGTAATAAAGCTAATGTTTTATTATATTCGGTATCAGGGGCGGACTGACCATTTGGAAACTCGGGCATTGCCCGACGGCCCGGGGTCAGTAGGGGGCCCCATGAGATGCCCCTGGTACCTTTTTCATAGGCTTTTTTGAGTTTGGGCAAGGACACAGGGGCCCCATGATCCCCTATTGCTTGGGGGCCCCATGAGTTGTCAGTCCGCCCCTGTTCGGTATTAAGGTTTATGAATGGTTTGCACTTTGTGGTGAACCCTCTATATTTTCTCTCATGAAGTCTTCTCTTGATTGTAGACTTGGACAATGATGTGCCCACCTCCTGGAGAGTGTCCTTCACTTGTCTGCATGTTGTGAATGGGTTTTTCTTTACCATAGGGAGGATCCTGCAATCATCCACCACTGTTGTTTTCCGTGGACGTCCATGCCTTTTTATGTTGCTGAGCTCACCAGTGCGTTCTTCTTTCCTCAGAATGTACCAAACTGTTGATTTGGCCACTCCTAATGTTGCTGCAATCTCTCTGATGGATTTCGTTTAGTTTTTGAAGCCTTACAATGGCCTGTTTCACTTGCATGTACAGCTCCTTTGAACGCATGATGTAGGTTCACAGCAATAGATTCCAAATGCAAATACCACACTTAGAATCAACTCCAGACCTTGTAGCTGCTTAATTGATGAAGAAATAACAAAGGAGTAGGCCACACCTGGCCATGAAATAGCTTTTGATTCAATTGTCCAATTATTTTTGGTCCCTTGAAAAAAAGGGGGGTGGCTATTCTTAAGAGCTGTAATTGCTAAACCCTTCCTCCAATTTAGATGTACATACCCTCCAAATTAAACCTGAGAGTGGCACTTTCAGCCCATATCCTTTATATAACTATAGCTTGAATATGTTTTGGGAAATACCTGCAAAAACTTAAATTGTGCCTGTGTCCAAATATTTATGGACCTAACTGTATATAGCCAACAGCTTATGCAGCACTTTACAATATGGCAGAAGACAGTACAGTTACAATATAATTTCAATACAAAAGGGTTAGGAGGACCCTGCTTGTGACGGACTCCTGATAACCCAACTGGGTATCTCCGCTAAGAAGCTTCTTCCAAAACTCTGGAACACGAGGCAAGCTCTAGCTATGCCAAAAAACTAGACAACACCAGTTTTTGGAGTAAACAAGAAGAATTGCTTTATTAGAGAAACATGCTGAATTTTTACAGAAAACCATCAGATAAGAGCTAATCACATTGTCATAGACAATGCCCACTCCAGACAGTCCGCTGCTCACTTAGGCAGGCCATAGACAGGCCGTTTATCGGCCGAATTTTCGGCCGATAAATTAAAAATCGGTCGCCCCTGTTGCCAATGCTGCCACCAATTTTTTGCGGATTTTCCAGCATGACCAATAAAACTAAACGAGAAAATCCACAAAAAACGACCGATGGGCTGGACCCACTAACGGCATGAATATTGGCCGATTTTTCGTGCGGACGAAAAATCAGCCAATAAACGACCCATCTATGGCCTGCATTAGGAACACATTATAGATAGGAAGCCATATGTTACACTGATAGTTTTTTCTGGATAATTTGAAAACACACTAAAAACACACAGTTCTCCAGGCAATGGTTCTCCTGCAGCTCCAAGTCCATGACACTGCTCATAAGAGCTCACAATCTAATATGGATGGGCAAGTAACACATATAATAATAGTGAGAGATGAACTGATGAAAAAATAAAGTTCAGTTTATAGGCAGAGGTAGGATAGGCTTCCCTGAAGAAATGAGATTTCAGGGATCACCTAAAGGAGGAGAGAGGTAGGAGAAAACTGGACAGAATGGGATATGGAATTCCAGAGGATTGCAGAGGATCTGGAGAAATCCTGAAGGTGAGCATGGGAGGAGAAGACAAAGGAGCTAGAGAGCAAGAGGTCTTTGGAGGTGCGAAAAATGACATTTTCGGTGATATACTGATATAAGATTGGTAATGCAGCTTGGGGCAGAGTTGTAAATGGCTATGTAGGTTGTTAGTATTTTTAATTTTATTATTTGGGCAATTGAAAGCTAGTAGAGTGATTGGCAGAGGGGTGGTGGACACTGAGTGATTTGTAACATAGATGAGTCTGGAAGTAGCATTCATGGTAGAACAAAGTGGGGATGGTCTATATAGAGGTAGGCCTATGAGAAAGGTGATAGTCAAGGCGGGAGAGAACCAGTGAGTGAATAGGTAGCTTGGTGGTTTCATTGGTTAAGGAGTGTAATTTGGAGATGTTATGAAGTCTACAAGATTTGGACAATGATTGGATTTGTGGCTGAAAGGAGAAGTCAGAGTCCAGGATTATACCGATCATCCTGGCATGAAAGTATGGACTGATAGCTGTATTACTGATCTTGATAAAAAAGTCACAGAATGGGTTGCTCTCAGGAGTTCAGTGAATTCAAGCATGGTACCATGATAGGTTACCACCTGTGTAATAAGTCCATCCGTGAAACTTCCTTGCTACTAAAAATATTCCACGGTCAACTGTTAGTGGTATTATAACAAAGTGGAAGCAACTGAGAACAACAGCAACTCAGTCACGAAGTGGTAGACCATGTAAAATGTCAGTTCATGCTGAAGCGCACAGTGTGCAGAAGTCACCAACTCTCTACAGAGTCAATAGCTAAAGACATCCAAACTTCATGTGGCCTTCAAATTAGCACAGCAACAGTGCGTAGAGAGTTTCATGGAATGGGTTTCCATGGCTGAGCAGCCGCATCCAGGCCTTAAAACACCAAGTGCAATGCAAAGCGTCAGATGCAGTGGTATAAAGCGAATCACACTTCTCTGTCTGGCATACCAAGACATTTTGGACAATGTTATACTCCCAGCTGTGTGGGAACACTTTAGGGAAGGCCCTTCCTGTTCCAACATGACTGCGCACCAGTGCACAAAGCAAGGTCCATATGGACATGGATGAGTCAGTTTGGGGTGGAGGAACTTGACTGGCCTGCACAGAATCCTGACCTCAACCCGATAGAACACCTTTTGGGATGAATTAAACCAGAAACTTCAGACCAGGCGTTCTCATCCGACATTAGTGCCTGATCTCACAAATGCGCTTCTGCAAGAATGGTCAAACATTCCCATAGACACACTCCTAAACCTTGTGGACAGCATTTCCAGAAGTCTTCCCTGCAAAGGGAGGGCCAACTCAATATTGAACCCTATGGACTAAGACTGGGATACCATTAAAGTTCATGTGCGTTTAAAGGCAGGCGTCCCAATACTTATGGCAATATAGTGTATGTGTAGTCCTGGACTCTGACCTCCTTTTTTTCAGGCCCAGATTCAATCTTAGTCCAAATCTTGACACCTTTACCTCCGTAATATCTCCAAAATACTCCCCTTCCTAACCAAGGAAGCTGTTATAGCTACAAAGGGTGGGCCAACTCAATATTGAACCCTACGGACTAAGACTGGGATGCCATTAAAGTTCATGTGCGTGTAAAGGCAGGTGTCCCAATACGTCTGCGTATATATATCCTTATCTCTATGTTTCAGATAATACATTCTCTGAAATATTCCTGAGGAAGTGGTCACACCAAGAAACATGTTGAGAAGAACTGGCCAAATGTATATGAATCTATACCATCTGTATTGGGATGCCCTATTCGTGTTCGTCGCATGACATTTATAGTCCAGTTCTGAGAGAATGTAACTTGCAGGATATTCTAAATATGTGAATTGTTTTTATATATATGTTTGTTGTAATAAAATTTCTGTTTTTAGAAAAACTTTCTTTGTAAGCCTATGGCTGTACCATGAATGTCCTCTTTTCGCCTCAAGGTTTATTTTTTTTTTAAATATGTGATAATATCCTTAAATCAAAGACAGTTTTTTGGCATGATAAGTCATATTTTCAATATCAATGCCAAAATTTCACAATTTCTGTAAGGGTAGGCAAACTTTTGAGCACAACTTTAAATTAGTGAAGGTGGCGAAAATTCCCTCTACAAAGAATACCCAATCATGTGCAAGGAAAAAAATAAACAACAGTATTTTTGCTTGCACATGATTGGATGATGGAAGTCAGCAGGGCTTCACTAAGCTAAGGAAAAATTCCATTGCAAAGTGTAAATTAAAGTCTCGATTCTGCCATAAGAATCAAATATATTACTGTACTTCTAGATTTCATTATACTCATTTCACCTAGAAACATATTGTAGCTCTTTAAATGTATCATATGTTTAGCTGTTTATTTTTTTTTTATAAAGTGACATTAACCACTTACTCTCCAGAGGATTTACTCCCCTTCCTGACCAGGCCATTTTTTGCGATATGGGGCTGCGTCAATTTAACTGACAATTGCACGGTCATATGTCCTTTTTTTCCCCCCCACAAATAGAGCTTTCTTTCACAGGTGGTATATGATCACCTGTGTGGTTTTTATTTTTTGCACTATACACAAAAAAAGACCGACAATTTTGAAAAAAAAATATATATATATTTTTGACTTTTTGCTATAAAACATATCCAGTAAAAAAATCTAATTTTGTCATAAATTTAGGCCAAAATGTATTCTGCTACATGTCTTTGCTAAAAAAAATTCCCAATGCATGTAAATAAATTGGTTTACCTGAAAGTTATAGTGTCTACAAATGGAGGTGTATACATACTGGAATTTATATTTTTATTTTTTTTTAGTACTTTTTGCTAGTAAGGCTACGTTCACACTAGCATTGTGTGCAGGCGGCAGAGAGGCGTTTGGAAAGCGTTTTTACCGCTTCCCAAACGTCTCGGACAATTCTGTACATTGCAGCACATGGTGCTGTTCTAACGGGAGCGTTGTGTCGCGGCAAAATGGACGCCTCTGGTCGTGTCAGGAGGCGTTGAAGCCTCCTATTCTAGTCTATGGTGCCGCTCCGGAAATGCCTGGCATTTGCGGTGCGGTTGCAAACGAATGGAGCGGTAACACCATTCAAACTTCATTCTAGGCGTTTGTGGGGTGTTTTTAACGCGCTAAACCACGCATGCGGCATTTGCGGAGTGTTTGCCGAGTGTTAAAAAACGCTCGGCAAACGCCGGACTAAGCTTGCCAAACGCTATAGGGGCGTTTGGCAAGCGTTGGTAAAACAGTCAAGTGTGAATGAGCCCTAATGGTGGCGATCAGCGACTTATAGCGGGACTGAGGCGGACATTCTGACACAGGGTGGGAACTAACTGCCACTGACATCCAATGACAC